GGGAATTCAGCGATGGTGCTCTTAAATTTACTTTTGAAACTGACCCATGATTCCCAAGGATTTTTCAAACGTAATAAAGCATCTCATTTCATAAACTCCGTACTTATTTACGTTACCGAAATGTTATTACAAATGACAGCTATTTGTGACAGTTCTGTGTTAGTTAAAATGAGATTATCAGCTCTCCATACAGGTCAGCTTAATTGCCATAAGCTTTGATCAATTTTGCACAGTTCACTCGTGTTTGAACAAATTTTCCCAAAAGATATCATCCGCTTATCATCCGTACTGAGTCATGCCATAGCGACCTATTTTTTAACTCACTTCTTGATTGATATTTGCCATCGTCACACATAAACCAGCCAGTTGAGTGTACAGAAGACTACTGTTATTTTGCTCTACTCAATTCACGATCTGATCTCAAATTATTCATTTAGTCTACTCAAGCGCTTCAATAAATGGTCAAGTTATTGACGAACGCATTGAGCGGCAAACAATGATAGAGCACAATGGAGCATTTGTTCTGTTTCGTGCTGGACGAGCACCCACGTTCACTGGTTCGAATACATAATTTCACTGAACGACAGGAAATTTCAACACCCAAACCTTAGGTGGGATCATCTGTGTATGTGGATTCATGTGTGGTTTGTTCTCTTGATAGTAAAAAGGAACTCTTTTCGTACCAAATAACTGTGTCACTCTTTCAGTGACAAAGAACAGACTAGTTGGACACATACTCAACCAGCGGATGGCAAAACCCATTAGCATTAGTTTTCGCATTGCTGTTCCGCTGAGGAAATGAGAGATTCCCAATTTTGATGTAACCAAATTCACTCAAAAAGTTGCAGCGCTATTGGATTGTTTCCTGTCGGTGGATTTTTATCACGTATGCAAGTTAATAAAAAAAGACATGAAAAGATGCAAGCCACAGAATTCTGTTCTGACCTACGGGTATTGAGGTCTCTAATTAACTACCAATAATATTCCTTCGGTATCGATCATGAATGTTCAAAGTGCTCCACCAAAACCACGGAATTTACAACAATTCATGATCACGTTGTATCGTCTATTCTCGATGGGAAGTGGAACACGAGCAGGGAATGTTGGACGATTAGCCATTCCAACGGTCTACGGTCACAAACATCCGGTGCAATACATTTTTGCCTAATTTTTGTATTTCTATAGCTTGTAGCACCTTAGATCCGACCGCGGCGGTGGTGGTTTTGTGGTAATGTAAGCAAACTATTACCCAGGAGAACGTGTGTTCCAATCCCACCGACACCGCTTGACTTTCCTCATTGTGTGTTGTACGACAGCCCCGTAATTGGCCGCTTGCCACTTCCTGAAAACTGTATCATTTTGTATTAATTAAAAGTAAGTATAAATAAAATGAAGTGTTTCAATGAAAAATGATTCTGTCTAGACGGTGAATGTTTGGATTAGCCACTTATTCGGTTTTTCACAGGCACCAGGTACTGTTAATCATTTTGGATGTAGTTTCGTTCATTATTTCGATCATTAATTCCCCCAACCCTCCCTCGTTGAATGCATTTAAATGCCATGGATTTGTTTGTGATAACCGACAAAGAGTCACTCGCACACGGTGATGACCATGGACCGTGTAGCTCCGGGGTAAGGGGTTGAAATCTCAACCCGAAAGTTCGCGGTTTGAGTCCTGACAGGGACACAAAAAGTACGCACTGCTGACGAGTCCCAAACAGGACGAAATAGCTATCTAGTGCTCTTTGTCGGTTATCACAAATGAATCAGTGTCAGCTCATATAATGTGATCAACGTGGAGACTTCTTTCTATGAGGTGTGCCATCGCATGTCTGAATATCCGTCACTTGGGGTATGTACATCGCATTTAAAAATTGTTTATGCTTAGTTTGATCACAGTTTGTTTAATGTCAGCACTGTCCTAAACCAAATTGGTATCACCTTTCATTTATAAAATGTGAATGCTGATTGAATGTAATGTGGTCTGTGGGAATCTGCATAATGTTGCTAGACGCATTTGTAAATTTCAGCTAAACAATCCTGAACCGTTTTGGTTTAATATCACATGATTCAAGTAGTCTAAGAGGCGTACATTTCAGTAAAGTAGACCGATTGTCGCATCGTTTTGGCGCCAAGACAGGACCTACTGAATCTACTTCTGCATCGTATTTACACGTAACCTTAGGAAGACAGAATGCCTGTCGGGTTTCCACCACCCACCCACCCCCTACCCGTCTTTTTTGTTCGGCCACTTTTGATACTGTTTTTTAGTTAATGTTATTATTATTACTATTCTATTGCGCGCTTCATGCACCGATTTTTTTTCATCACTTTGTTTGTAGCCGCTTTACGCCTATCACTTATAACGATGGTGAATTCTAAAAGCGGAACACTTGACAAAAGTGCACAGTGTATTGTCACAATCGGAGCGGTATCAGATGCCAGCAAGTAAATTTCATTCAACACATTATTGAGTAATCCTAATCTGAGTGGTAAATCAGGTGACAAATCTCAAAGGGATTGAAAGCGGTCCGCTAGCTTGCNTTGCCCACTTGCCAGCATCATAT